GGAGGGACCAAATTAAATATTACAAATTAATTAACTACGGCAAGCTAATTAATAATTACAAATTGCCTAATCAACTAAGGCAAATTTAGCTAAAATAAGAAACAGGAAAGACGCCCGGGAAAACGCGCCGCCCATGCATAGGCTGCCTCTTGTATTTCCTTCCTTCACTCCTCTGGAGCTTGTCAAAACTCAGGACTGCATCCGCTGGACACTGGGGAGTGCACTGGCTGAGTGGGATTACCACCGGCAGTGGTGTGTGCCATCGCACAAACTGAAGCTGTCGCAGAGGAATTGTTGCGCCGGTCGGCACCTTACACTGCCAGTCGGCATAGTGTTCGCTGCAGAATCTGCAAATGATCAGCAACAAGAGGGCAAGGCCAAAGCAAGTGGCAGAAACAATTCAAGGCATAATGCAGCCACAACATAGTCCGCTTATCATGATAATGACTCAACGGGGCATGTACCTCGTTCTCGGACCGCACCAATCACGCATTTCCATGCCATTGAGGCCCAAAGGAACCAAGTATGCAACTTTGAATTTCAAATGCAATGCAAACCAATCAACTAAACAAGGCCCCAACTTCCTATCATCAAGTCATAGGAATATAGGCATGCATGCAGATGCAATGCAACCTAAGCATGAGCAAGCTAAGGATGCAGCACTGGCATGGCAACTAACTTATGCAAGACATAGCAAGCATATACATTGGGCAATGCAAATAGATGGAAAGATGGACTTAAACATGAATTAGTGCAGCTCTAGAATAGGCCTAAAACAGTAAGCCATAATTGCTATAATGGAAGGACCAATAACATGCACAACATACAATGTTGAAAGCGCAACACTTTAGGCACGAAATTGGACAACCTCAAACACATTGAAAGAAACGAGGAATCATGGACTAATTAGCATGCAACATAAGCATTGGAAGTTCATGTTAGGATGGTGCCAAAGCCAAGCACAAAATAAGACTAACATTAACATGCAAAATGGTCCAAATACTTGAGACAAGTCATGGAGCTTTGTGAAGGCACACTTAAGCACAACAACCATGGCAATGCATTAAATAACTACAAAACAGATTTTTAATGTGTTAAAACAAGGCTAAAGGACTATATATATATATGAGCAGTGAGCTAAAGCCCAGTGAATAACATAAAGCGTAAAGGGTTAAGAATGAATGTCCTTACAGTAATGAAAACAGTTCATTTCAATCAGTATTTCAGTTGTTCAGTACAGTAAACAGTCATATGTGGTACATCCATTAGCATAGCAGTAAACAGTAGGTCTAAGGAGACCGAACAGTAATGATGGCCATCAGTCAGTAAACAGTAGTGGTTCCACGAGGGAACCGGCAGAGAATTCTGTCACAGTAATCAGTAACAGTAGGTGCTAAGGATGCCACAATACAGTTCAGAATATAGGACATACATTCATTCAGTTAACAGTATTCAGTTCAGAAAACAGTACAATTCAGTTGTTCAGAAGATATTCATTTGTGAACATATCTTTACACAATCGTTACTCACAAAGTTTGGGTTACAGTATGCTAGAGCGTGCTCCCCAGTCGCCAACCCTACACAGTTCACAGGTTGAACACACACTAAGCTACACAGTTGGGAAATATAATAACTTAATCCCTAATGCCTCGGTGTGTTCTACATCTATATCCTCAACAAGATGCCTTAAACTAGGTCTAAGAATGCCTAGAATGGGATGAGGATGCAAAGATGTGATCAGAAAACAGTTTCAGAATTTAACAGAAAACAGAGTCCCGCTCGAGCGCAGGTTTCCCCGCTCGAGCGGTCATGCAACAAAGGTACACGCTCGAGCGTAAACTTTCCCGCTCGAGCGTACTGTAAAAGTACTGGATGGGTGAAATCTCCGCTCGACGCCCGCTCGAGCTTGAGACACATGACTCCGCTTGAGCGTCCAATCCTCCGCTCGAGCGGACTGAAAAATAGTGCAGAGATACAGGATGCTCGGATTCTACGCTCGAGCGCCAATTACCCCGCTCGAGCGGAAGTGCAAAATCTGGGAATTCCAGATTGCACCTCCAAGCCAAAAACCAAGTTCAAATGCATCAAAACCGATCCTCTTGGGCTGAACTTCCAGAAAACACTTGTAAACATAAGGAATGACATGATTCAAAGCTCAATTTTAAGAAATCAAAGCCCAAGGGTGTTTAATTCAAACCATTTTCAAGTCAATAACAAGAACAATATGAATATGCAAACATGCATGAATTCAAATCATTTTGAAGCTCCAATTTGATGCTCTAAGGAGCCAATTCTTTTCAAAACATGGTGAAATCATGGACTTAACATAATTATGAACATGCATGTACAATTTTACCATGAATTCAACTCAAATTCATAAATTCAAACATGCATGCATGAATTATGCTCTATATCAACATGTATGAACTAAAACATGACTTAGCTCTATGCTTTAACATGGACCATGCAAGAATTAGCTCAAACACAAGAATGAAAAGATGAAATCCTTACCTAAGTCTTGAATTAGGAGACTAGGAGCTCAAATATGCGATCTATACTTCAATTCTCTTAAATTTCCAAGCAAAACCAAGCAAGGTGAGATGAAATCTACCTCCCAAGTCTCTCTCTCGCTCTAAGGTCGGCAAGGCAAGGAAGAAGGCTAAGGAAAACATTTTGATTCAAGTGTGCAAGGCTCTAATAGTGACTAGGTAGTGGGCCACTCATGTGGCAAAATAGTAATTAAGTCAAACTATGAAATTGATCAATATTCAACCTAATTTAATCCTACTTAATCAGTTTTCAAATAATTATGCTATAAAATCACATAAATTACGATGATCGCAAGACACTAATCGGTTTCCGGTTCGGCCGTCGATAGAGCCTTCAATTAGCAGTTTAAACACAAAGGCATACACAGATAATCAAACAGGCAACAGATAGAAATGCAATTCAAACAGATGTATTCATTCAATTCAGTTTCAATTTCAGTCAGTCAGTTCAGTACTTTAATCGGTTCAGTTATCAGTCATGAGCGGTCCAATTATCAGTCATGATCAGTTCAGTTTAACGGTAATCAGGGTTTATCGGTAAACAGTGATAAGGGTTATTACACCAATAGACGCGATGCCTTTATGTAAGTCAAGACAATAGATTTCACACAAAATATCTTCTAACACATCGTGGTTCTCATGGTTGTGTTCATTTTGGCCTTAAATGCTCTTGGTTGCTTGCGAGTGCATCTAAAGAATTTAGCCTATTCATTCTCATAGAACCGGCCCCTGTTCAACACTCATATAGGTGATTCTTATTATGAGTATCTGTTATACTCGTCTTAATCTTTATGCCTAAATCAAGATATAAGTAATCATTCAAAGTAAAGCTTATCTTTAAACCCCTACATACACACACATGTTGTAGATATCACTCTCACCATAGGAATGCATAGGAAATTTTAATCCGTTGGTGATTTCTAGCGAGCTACACATAACTTAGTTGTCCCTTTGAACATAGTTCTTGGGACCTCCAGTCATTTAAGTAGGGTTATCATTATGATGACTCTTATTCAATAGGCTTTAATCACATCCCCTTTGATGAACTATACACTTGTTCTTTAGTCAAACCTTTTGTTAACGGATCCGCAATATTTTTCTTTAGATTTTGTATAATCTATTAAGATTATTCCATTTGAGAGCAATTGTCTTAGGTCATGTTTGATTGAATGGATTAGAGCATGGGATTGGGATAATTAATGCGTGGGCCCATCTATCCTATGTTTGTTTTAATATTTTGGTTTAGGATTATTAATCCAATGGATAATTAATTCAACAAATTTGTAAGATTATTAGTAATGGGGTAGGGGTGGGATTATATATCCTGAATTGGGAAATAAAGTAAAATGACTATTTTACCCTGACTACATACGCAAAAATGTAAGCAAAATCATATCATTTCTACCCAGCAAAGACTCAGCAGCTTTGCTGAGAGAAGATCTCCACCTTCGTGAAGATCTCCATCTCGGTGTGCCGATTTCAACCTTCGTTCGCCGGAAAATTCACCGTCGGCACTGAAAAACTCTCATTACCGGTGAGATTATCATCTTCGCCATTTATTTTTCCAGATTTTTATCTATTTCAACAATTAATTTTACATGTTTGGTTCAAAATTTATGATAAATCATCATTGTCAGAATTTATGAGATGTATTTGTATATATATATACATAGATCTATGTAGTTGTAACAATGTTTTGATGGTTTTGGTATATTATATACTATATCTGTGTTTGATTCTATTGTTAAAATTCTGCCCACCGTGTGTTTGATTCTATGTTCAAGTGAGAACTCAGCATAAACAATTGGAACATGCTTATGAAAATTGTTGTGATCCATTAAATGCTTACTAGTGAGGCAAAAAAAGGAGTAAGTAGATCATTGTTAAGGTGGATATTTGTGAATGTTCTTCTTGTAGCAAGTAAAAATGTTAAAATAGATCTCCTTACCAGAACATATAATATTTACATTTCTGTCATTTTTTTCTATTGAAACTATGAAATCCTTTTATTGTGATTGATTTGTCTTTGAGTTTTTAAATGTAAGGATGTTCACTATTTCTTTAAGAAAATCAATTTTCCCTTTAAAATTCAGATTTTTTTGGGGAATTCCGATGTCAGAACAGAGCAAAGTACTAAACTAGCCAATTGAGAATCTCTTTCTATTTGATCGTGGAGTAAATTAACTATTTATTGAAATTTTATTATCATATAATCTAATAATTATGAGCACTGTAAAATAAAAGGATCTCCATAAACTCCGTGTATTTTACTCTGTGTTTGTACTTCATGCATGCATGAGTATGGGCATGGAACTATGTGAGAGGAAGAGATAGGGAAGCTGATCAGAGTGTCTCCAAGAGCCTAACGGGTGTCCATTATCTAATAATTTAAGAAAAATTCTCACTGAGTTGTCTACAAGGTGTTGAAGGGTGGGTGGGGTGGACGGGACAATATTCAATTTTTGTCTCACTTTGGACCACTGCCCTCATTTGTATATGCTATGTTGGTTCATAAATAAATAATTGAAGCCTCCTAAGCTTTTTCACTACTCCGTAATAACAAACAAAAAAGAATGCATGACTATCAAACTAACAACTATATGAGTGGGCTTTTCTTACACCCCTCTCTGTGTATATGTGTGCGCCTCTCCACTCTATAGCATCCATGAAGTTGGAGAGAAAGAAAATCCAAATGGACCTCTCTCTCTCTCTCTCTCTCTCTGTGAATATGGAAGGTTTCTGGCTGCTTATCATGCACCACTAACAGTTGAAGCTGCCAGCATGATCTAAAATTTTCTGTGTCTCTTTCTCTTTACCTATCTCAAAGGAAAGATGAGATCATGTGGGTAGCTTCACCTGTTGATGGAATCATGAAAAACTCTAATCATCCACCTATTATGCATCCTTGTGCTCTTTTTCTCAATCATATCAAAAGCTTTTGAGGTAAAACAAACACGCCCAAGTATTTTTTTTTTTATGTTTTTTATTTTCTTTATTTGCCACAAGATTTAAATCTGGCACTGAATCACCCAAGGCCCAGCTGAGCTTAATTTGTATTAGCAATCTGTTCTTTAAGGTTCTTCACTAATTTGCTGGTAATTGTGTGTATGTAAATAGATTTCCTAAACTCAGAAATGGGTTTAGTTGGTCTCTGGTCCATTAAGGGGATTGAACTGTGTAGCTCAAGCTCATGAGCTCATTACAAGTCTCGCTTTGATAATTTGATCCGTTTATTTTATAAGCACTTTGTATGGATAATCTGTATTAAAAAAAAATGATTGATATAATAATCTGTATTGTCATAGAACTTGGGTACTACCATTTCTGATGGATGTTATAGTATACGAAACCTTGAAAATTTGGAATTACCTCACAAATTTTTTATGACGAATCTGGATGGGACCTGGTTGAGTTGATGTTGCAATTTTGTTTGTTTTATAATGCAGTTCCTGTCTCCTGCCAACTGATTAATCACCTAGTTATTTAGTTATTTTGTTGTGTAAATATCATTTCTATCATTAAGGTTAAGGTCATTCCTTCATCTTTTCGTTGTTATCAAGGGAAAAGTACATATCAGGGTTATTAGGATGATTTCAATGGATTCAAGAACAACTTCCCTAATTTCTTTGTTGATCAATGAGTCATAGTCCTTATTATATTTCTGCAAATTTGACTGCTCATTATAATTTTTAAATATATGATATGTTTCTCTCTTGCTATTTTAAATTCAAAAAAAATCTTTGCATAAGAAAAAAATTGTAATCATATTGAATGTGTTTAGATTTGAATTAATGCAATCTTTTGGGAGCTCTTTCAGTGCCCATCAGAAATACATGTAGTTCTAATCTCTTACACTAACTAGATCTGATGTGTTAGTTGAAGCATTTGTAGATGAACAATAATGAATGCTCGGACAGTACGATGGACCTATTTGAAGCATTTGTAGCACTCCAAGAAGTTGTGTCATCTATTAACTATGTATGTGGTGTGTACATTATTGTACTACAAGTTGCCTTGGAGAGGTACCAATCTAGGTTGGATATTAAAAGGTCACCACATCCCTTCCAAGCATAATTAGACTATTTGAATAGATTGGTGAAGGATAGTGATATTGATTGTCATGAACAACTCCGAGTGAATAGGCATACCTTCATGTGTCTTTGTACACTTGTTCGAAGTGTGGGATTATCTGATTCCAAATATGTCCTCTTAGAGGAGAAAGTTGCAATGTTCTTAAATGTGATTGCACACGACTATAAGAATCGCAACATCAAGTTCAATTTCATGCGGTCTAGGCAAACAATTAGTCAGTACTTTAACGATGTCCTGAAGGCTATTTTACGCCTACAAGGTGTCTTACTTAAGACACCAGAGCCAATAACTGCAAATTGCACAGATGATAGATGGAGGTGTTTTCAGGTATTACATAGTTTAATTTCATTTAGATTTTGGGCAAACACTAACATATTTAAAATGAATAACCTTATTTTATTTTGATCTTTGGTAGAATTGTCTTGGAGCTCTAGATGGAACTTATAGGGTTTGTGTTCCTGCAATAGATAAGCCAAGATATAGAACACAGAAGGGTGAAATTGCTACTAATGTCTTGGGTGTTTGTTCCCAAGACATGCAATTCATTTATGTATTGCCTGGATGGGAAGGGTCAGCTTCAAATTCTAGGGTACTTAGAGATGCTGTGAATAGACCAAATGGTTTGAAGGTCCCGACCGGTAAGAATCTATATAGTTAATTGATGTAATATATAGTTAATTGATGTAATCTTAATTGCCCAATTTTCAAAGTACTTATACATATGAAACCCATACTTGTTTTCAGGTTTCTACTATCTTGTAGATGCGGGTTATACTAATGGAAAGGGTTTCTTAGCGCCATATAGAGAGCAACGCTATCACCTCTCTACATGGAGAGAAGGGGGTATCCTAGTGAATCCTGAGGAGTTCTTCAATATGAAGCACTCTGCTGCTCGTAACGTTATTGAGAGGTGTTTTGGGTTACTCAAGATTAGGTGGGCAATACTGAGAACTGCTTCGTACTACCCAATCAAGACCCAGGGTCGTATTATTACTGCATGTTGCCTTCTCCACAACCTCATCAGACGTGAAATGCCAGTGGATCCATTTGAGTTCGAGTTAAATAACACTCCTATACCTCAACCTGATTTAGGAGAAGAGTTCATCAATACAGTATAGCCATCAAATCAATGGAGTGATTGGAGGGATACATTGGCAAACATAATGTTTAATGAATGGCAAGCAAATAGAGGAGTTGGTGGAAATCTTCCGTAGTTGAGATAGTTTATTTAAATATTTTATTTGTAATGATAAGAATCTTGTCTATTTTCATAATTGAAAAATATGTAATGAGAATCTTACGTAGTTGAGATGGATTTATTTTTCAAGCTAATCAATTTTATTTGTTTTAATCTTTATTTCATGGAGAACCATTTGTTGCTTTCATGATTGCAGAATAATATCTATATTTTAGGTAGATTGAGTAGTTGTTTAATATCAAGAGTGCTTTTTTTTTTTTTAATATATATAGTTCATGCACACTTTTCAATCATATTTTTACCTTGTCTTCCATACTTGTATTTTGTATATTAGAATGAGCTATTAAATCAATAATATGTGTTGCACATCATTATTATAGGCATGGATAGTGTTGCTACCAGCTGTTCTCGAAAGAAAAGTAAGGGCAAGGCAGATGCTGGTTCAATTGGGAGTCGTAGGATTTGGACGAAGATGGAGGAGTTGTTTCTCATAAGTGCAATGAGAGATTTGTGTAATAATCCTAAATGGAAGGTTGACAATGGGCAATTTAAGTCGGGGTTTTATGGCGAACTTGAGAAGAGAATAGTCATGGCTTTTCCTGGAAGTGACCTTCGTGCTTGTCCTCACATTGAGTCAAATATAAAAATTTGGAGGAAACACTATGGCCTTTTGTATGAAATGACTTAGCTTAGCGGGTTTGGATGGAATGACACTGAGAAGATGGTTCTTGTTGACAGTGACGATGTTTGGGAAAACTTTGTTCGGGTAAGTTTTTTTCTTCTATTTTTTAGTGTTCATCTCATCATAATTACTAGATATCCTATTCATCTTCATTTCAATTTTATCTCATTTAGCTTACGTTTAATTTGAGCTCTTGTTGAAAGAGCTCTAAGTACATATTCACTCCCTGCACTTTTGTTTATGTACTGCATACTTGAATGTCCTTTCTTTCTTTTGAACTTGTGTAGAGACAACCAAGTGCGAGTTCTATGCGAAACAAGTCATTTCCATATTATGAAGATTGGCTTGTTCTCTTTGGCAAAGACAGAGCCACTGGTGAGTTAGCTGAAGATCCTGCAGATGTAGTTGAAGCAATTGCTGTGGAGGAAGCCATGGGGGAGAAGGGTGATGGTTCTCCAACTAAGCAATTCAATGTTGCTGACTTCGAGTGTTCAATGTCTACAAATGGAAATGCATCCAACTTTTCTACCTTTAGCAATGGAGGAACAAAAAGAGCCAGGACTACTGAAGGAATCACAAGTAATATTGCTACAATGACAGAGACACTTGGCTCTTTTTTGGACAAAACGGACACTAGATTGGGTGAGATTGTTAAAAGGATTAGATATCAACATGACTTATCCCAAGCTAGGAGGAGTGTCAATGCTGAACTTCTGAAGCTCCCCCTTACATTAACTCAAAGGTTGACAGCAAGTTCTCTCATTGTCAAAGATGCTCAGCGAGTTGACTTCTTTTTCAGTCTCTCCGATGCCGACAAATTAGAGTGGGTATGTCTTTTGTTGGGAGGGCACGTATGAGTACACATGTTGGGGATCGTGGTTTATTCGACACAATAGAATATATAATAGTATTTGATAATGTGGGAATTTAGTTGTGTAGAAGATATTGGAGATACTATATTTCTAGCTTACACACACCACTGTTCTACAAACTATTGTGAACATTACTTTTCTTAGTTTAATATTGAACTTGAGTTGATTGGTGGATCAAAAAAACAAAAAACATAATCTGTTACATGTGGTCTTGATGGGTGAATCAAACATAATCTGTGATGTTCAAACATAAGTTTGCATGTGTACTTTTAGGCCATGTTTGCATGTGTTTAATTACCATTTCGTGTATGTGTGTGTGGACATGTTTGCATGTGTTTAATTACCATTTTGTGTATGTGTGTGTGGACATGTTTGCATGTGTTTAATTACCATTTTGTGTATGTGTGTGTGGACATGTTTGCATGTGTTTAATTACCATTTTGTGTATGTGTGTGTGGACATAAAACACTTATTATTAAATCTATATAATTTTATATTTTAGAAGGCCAAAAATAATTTTTATAAATTTTAAAATATTTTTTTATATTTATTTTATCAAATTAGTTTATATATTTAAAAAATAAAAAATAAAAAACAGACCAAACATGGCCTTTGTATTTTGTATTTTACTTTTGCTTTTATTTATAATTTTTTTCAAAATCACATTTATGAAGAAATTTTGATAAAGTAAAAATTATGAAGAAACATTGATGGAGGGTAAGATTGGAAAAGAAAATAAATATAGTTGTAATCCTACATTCATAAGTTTCTTATCCCATGCAAATCAAACAATGGACAAGAGGATAATTTATCCTAGTAATCCAATTGGATAATTAATACCATACTAATTTCATAGGATTATTAATACTTCACTATTAGTCTTGTGAAATCAAACATGGCCTTACGGTATTATGTCGATGATGAATATGTCGTGACTTACCATTATACATATGATTCTGTGTCCTGCCTATTACAGATTGACTATCACAATGAATGCAAATAGCTGGCACATGTTTTGCCCATATTGGAATGCCTTCTAAGAAGTGGCGAAACCATTCTACTTCTTCTCCTACTTTGTCTAAAGCAATGAACTTAGATTCCATTGTGGATCGTGCGATGCATGTTTGTTTCGTAGATTTCCAAGAAACAAAAGCGCCTTTCAAAGTAAAGACATATCCACTAGTGTATTTTGAATCTTTAGTATCTGATATCTAATTTGCATCACAATAGCCTTCAAATACTGCTGGATATCGAGTAAAGTTCAAACCATGATCATGGGTAAATCTTAGATATCTAAGAACCCGAATGATTGCTTTCCAATGATCTTCTCTGGGGTTACTAGTGTACCTACTCAATTTGTTGACTGCATAAGTTATGTTAGGACAAGTACAATTTATTAGGTACATCAGGCTTCCAATGATTTGGGAGTATTTTAACTGAGACACCGCATCACCTTTATTTTTTGATAAATAAAGACTGATGTCTACAGGTATTCTAGTTACATTCATATCATTCTTGATAATTTACCAAGAATTTTCTCAATATAATGAGATTGAGATAAGGCATACCCATAAGATGTTTTAGTAATTTTCATTCTTAATAAAACATCTGCGACTCCTATATCTTTCATATCAAATCTTTTGTTTAGCATTTGCTTAGTTGATTTATCATGTTTTGACTGCTTCCAATGATAAACATGTCATCCATATAAAGACAAACGATGACATAACCTTTGTCAGTGTTTTTAACATAGACGCACTTGCCACATTCGTTTATCTTAAACCCATTAGTAAGCATAGTATGATCAAATTTTTCATGCCATTACTTTGGAGCTTGTTTTAATCCATAAAGAGATTTTACAAGCCAATAAACTTTTTTTTCTTGCCCTGGCACTACAACCCCTTCAGGTTGTTCCATATAGATCTCTTCATTTAGATCACCGTTTAAGAAAGCTGTCTTAACATCCATTTGATGTATTTTTAAATTATACAACGCTGCTATAGCAATAAGCATACGAATGGATGTTATTCTTGTCACAGGAGAATATGTGTCAAAATAGTCCAAACCTTTTTTTTGTTTGTAACCTTTTACTACAAGTCTTGCTTTATACTTGTCTATTGAACCATCTGCTTTCATTTTTCTCTTGAATATCCATTTATATCCACGAGGTTTAGAACCGGATAGAAGATCCACCAATTCCCAAGTGTGATTTTGCATAATGGATTCAATTTCATTATTAACAGTCTCTTTCCACAAAGGTACTTCAGGACCTGTCATTGCTACCTTAAAGCTTTGAGGTTCATTTTCTATCAGGTATGTCAGAAAATCTGGACCAAAGGATTTTGATTTTCTAGCTCTCTTACTTCATTTTGTTTCATCATCAGTTAAATCCTGCTGGTCGAGACCATTACTAGTCTCCTACGTTTGATTGTCATTAATCTCTTGACTTTGTGTACAATTATAAATTCTTTTCTGTGAACATAATTCCTATCCTTTCTTGTAAGGAAAGACATGTTCAAAAAACATAGCATTCCTTGACTCTATAATAGTGTTCACATTTATATCAGGTATTTCTGATTTATAAGTCAGAAACTGATATGCACTGTTATTCTGAGTATAACTCATAAACACACAATCCATTGTTTTTGGTCCTATCTTAGTCTTTTTAGGAACAGAAACTTCTACCTTTGTCA